GTGTGTGTGTGAGTGTGTGAGTGTGTGAGTGTGTGTGTGTGTGTGAGTGTGTGAGTGTGTGTGTGTGTGTGAGTGAGTGTGAGTGTGTGTGTGAGTGAGTGTGTGAGTGAGTGTGTGTGTGAGTGTGTGTGTGAGTGTGTGTGTGAGTGAGTGTGTGTGTGAGTGTGTGTGTGTGAGTGTGAGTGTGTGTGTGTGTGAGTGTGGGGGGGGGAGAAAGCTGTCAAGCATGTTTGAGGACAGGGTGGCTAAGGAGAATATTTCAATGTGAGGACAAATAGATAAATAAATAGAAGGCTTCAGAAAACTGCTTAAGGCGTTTCGATTTGTTCTCGTAAAAATAGGGCGATCGAATCAAAGCGGAAGATACTTAAATTTATTAGTGGGAATGAGAGAATTAAATACGTATGCATGCCCAATTTCGCTTAGAAAATGTGAAGGAAAGAGTAAAGAACACTTCGAGAAAGGCGTAAATGACGCATACTATTAAAATGGACATAAAAATGTGTAAAAATATTTTGGACTGCATTTGTCTGGGTTTACGAAAAGGGGTTTCTATTGTATAAACAACGATGACATTTCTGTTTGTGTAAAAAAGCGGGAAATGTTCTTAGTTCCAAGGACTCTACAGTATAGAGGAAGAGGTCACAATTGTGCACTTAGGGAAGTCTGAACTTTCAGATGTATGAGAACGCGAAGCAATGTGTGAGTAAGTGTGCGCAGCGGTGTGGGAATTGCTCCAATGCCGTGATGGACTGTACTGCCAGCAAACTCCAGAAACTGCGTCGGATCTGCGGAGGAAGTGAGCCCACGAAAAAAAGTAAGCTTCAGGGTTCCAGAGAAATTTTACAAAAATAACATGGGCATGGGCTGGGTACTATAAATTGACGACTGTTAGAATAAATCAGATAATTTTAATAACTTATATTAATGATACTTACAGAATTATAATAAATTTGTGTTCTAACGAAAAGTTTTGAGAACACGGGAAGCTGGCTTTACTGGTAAATATTTTGATTTTTTTTTCTGAAAGTGCCACAGTCAAATCCATACAAGGACACAAATTATCTTGACTGAGTTTTGTGATTTCCTACACCCGTACGAGAATTCGATGACACTTCCTTCAATCAAGTCCTCTTCTTCAAATCTTCCTATTCAGTATTACCTTTCACCATTTCGTTAAATGCTATAGTCCTCGACACAGCCGAGTAACATTGGTTAAAACAGATTAGAAATGAAGAAAGCAGTCTTCTGGGATTTGGCACCGTGTATATGTGGTGTTAACCGACGTTTCGGAGGAACGTATCGCCTCCATCTTCAGGGTCTGCTTTTACCGGTTCTCACGGTCTCTTCGCTTGCAGATTTCTTATATTTTTTCTTCTACCCTGAAGATGGAGGCGATACGTTCCTCCGAAACGTCGGTTAACACCACATATACACGGTGCCAAATCCCAGAAGACTGCTTTCTTCAGATTAGAAATGCTTTGAAATATTCGTATATGGAAATAGCACAGGGCTCATGTGGAATGGAAAGTCTGCAGCCAGTACAAGACTGCACATTAAAACAGTCGGAAAACGGGGAAACAAATAGGCATATCTTTGTTTCAATAGAGCACTTGATTAAATATGCTCTGCTGTGGGGCTTCACACAACAATGGGGAAGTTGTAACAACTGATAAACAGACAGTGATACGAAGTAAAGAGTACATTCTATTTCAGGTTCCCCTACAACTATCTTCTGAAATGTGATTCCGTTTAGTCTGGTAGTAGTTTTCTGAAGTTTCCGAGGAACATGACTCTTTCGTCCTCAAGGTCGAAGAATTCTGCTTGCTGTTTAATTGACTTGCTCTTGGAGTCTGATTGACGGCTGCAGAACTTTTCTCGTAAATGTAATATACTTCTACCAGGCTACACGGTATCAGATCCTAGAAGTTCGTGCTCTTCAAGAAGAATACGTTGTATGTTAATAAGTATACCTTGTTCCAATTGTATAACTTTGAAATGAATTTATTTTGTGTATGAACATGGTGACAATGGCTGAATTCATGTAAAACCCTCTCATTCTCTTATAGTGAAGTGAATGCAGATGAGCGGCGAGCTTCACGCTTTGGCCGGTTTAACTTACAGAACGAGTTCTGGGTTATTGTTTAGGAGTTAAGAGCAGATCTGGCTTTCGGGAAGCTAGAGCGAAATTCTGTTCTGTCCATAGTTAAACCCCTTTCGTCGAATCATTAGCCATTTCATGAGGAACAAAAATTTGGTACAGTTTTTGCACTCGAAATGCTAAACCCATAAGAGCTGTGCCTAATTTTTAAAGTTATTTGTTGTAATCGAATAATCTGGTATTTACACCATCTTCACAAGTTGGTTATAATGTTTTCGACCCAATAATTAATATTACTATAATAATTTTGAGTTAATAGAATGGTTGTTTTCCAAAATTGTTGTACTACAAATATTATTTTTCTGTATGGATTCCATAAAATTGTAACCTTTATATATTGCACTTAATACAACTATTAGTTCTACATCAAAGTCTCTAAGTTTCGAAAGAATTAACAGGTGAGAATGTTCAAGTAGCTACTGGTTCGGAAAATTCACAATTTCGAATGTGGATTACGTGGAAGCTCTTGACACTGACAACTGAACGTGCTGTAGTGAATGGTTCAGTGCCACCTCAAAGGGTGAACTGGGGCGACGGTAGTAAATATTTTAAGTGGGACGGAGATATTTTTCTTCTTATGTGAAAGTCGGAAAGAAAGAGGCCACTGGGAAGACCAAGGCGTAGGTGGGTGGACAATATTAAAATGGATCTTACAGATGGACTGGATTGATCTGGCTCAGGATAGAGACCAGTGGAGGTCTCTTGTGAATACGGTAATGAACCTTAGGGCTCTATAAAATGCTGGGAAATTCTTGAGTAGCTGCGGAATTGGCGGCTCCTCAAGAAGGGCTCAGCTCCATGGGTATGTAGGTGTACTATACCATTGATGTAATTGTAAATAACCAGAATTATTTTTTTAAATCTGTATGAAAGTGTTTCAATTACACATTAACTTGATGCAGTAAGGAAGGGGACATTGAGTTTTCAGAACTGTGAAATGAGGAAGTGGGAAATATTTCAACATGTCGCATTGAACATAAAGACGAATGCATGAAGGTCACACAACTCGCAAGGAAATGGATCCGAATAAGCTGATTGTGGCAGTAAAACAAACTGCTGAGGCATTCACTGTTAAATGAAATAACAGGAATCACCAATACAGGGGACATGTCGAAACCAGAATTAAGTAGTAAAATTTTACGAATGACCCTCACTGCTCTCGAGGAAGTAACAAATTTTATGTGTGTTCATTTGTAGGTGAGCCTGAACACATCCCTGAACCCGAAGCAAGTTCATCTGCAGGGCCTTCTCAACCTTCAGCTTCCTAGAAGTTTCGCCGTGATGCCACATATTATAATTGTTAATGTTTTATTGTTCGTTAATTCTGAATCCAAATGTTAATAGAATGCAGGTATAATCATATTTTACATATTATTGTATCTTAATTGTGCATGTGAATAATTTTATTATCTTAGTGGAAACTGGTCAATTTAAATAAAGAAATTTATAGAAACTTACTAAAGTATTCAATAAAGAACTTCGGAAATTTGCATCCTTAAATGTTTTTTTATAAATAAAATAAACAGTATTACTTCAAAGATAATACGCACAGCCAAAGCCGTGTGTACACAAGGGGACTGAGAGGAGGTGCCTTCTTGCTAAATTGGAAGTTGGATTTTCCTGGCTTTCGTAAAAGTGTTTAGCTTAAGCATAACTAATTTTCCATGTTCGTTTCCGGTGGTGAAATACAGTAAAGTTTGTAAAACCATTTTAAACTAAACAATTTAATATAGTTTCTATATCGAATTAACAGCTTTCATTCACTGTTAAAATACGTTAGTATTTTTCTATATCAATGGTTAATCGAATATTTAATTTGTGACCGAACTAATTCAATGAAAGAATGAGAACTGTGTATTTGCTTAATTATGCAACCTCAAACTAATAGTAAACAGGTTCCCATTCCTAATTATCACAAATTTTGAGGCAATTGTAAAATAATTGGCTATATCATAACATTGTTGCCAATTACTCAATATTGCTGCCTAATTGCAGATTTATTTTGAACGAATCAGTTATTCTGTATGGGTAATAGGTTTACAATGATATTCTGAAGTTTCTGTCTTCCTATTAAGACATCAGTTATTTACCAAGGCTGCACGCGGCCGGGGCTGGAAATGAGAGTAGACACATTCTGCTTCGTTCCAGAGCGGTTTTCTAAACGAGATGTCATGACCGTCGTAACTGCCTTCCCCCAAAACACGCGAAAGATAAAACCCCAGCATTTGTTGTAAATTATCTTTCAATATGTGCTGGCCACTCCCCGGTCACGTCTAACGAAAAAGTCTTCTTGTAGGATTTGAGGTTCTGAGTAACTGTGATTAAGAATATCACTATTTTTTGGGATGTAACGCCGTGTAGTCTGGTAAAAGTCAATAAAGCACTCTGATTGCCACTTGCTTTCACGTTGGTATTTTGCTCGGTGTATTCTACCCCGAAGATAGAAGCGATATAATTCTCCGAAACGTCAGTTGTCCTTCAACGGACTACACGGCTCTGCAGAAGAACAATTTCCTAACCTGAACACAACGCTGTGCCTCCTGATTTCCATAATGCAGTGAAGTTCTTGATCGGCCGAATAAGTGATTGTTACGCGGGAGCGAAAGAAATGCCAGAGTCTGTTCCAGTAAAACTTCTGTATTAGGCGGGAAGCCATAAGTGACGCTGTTCGATTGATGGATTTTCTAGCTATGCATCATGAGCTCTAGATATCAGAGCACCGGACGAAATGGAGGTACGACTGTGAAGCTGAGAATGATGCGACACTAAGACAGGCTCGGTTCAGAGTTAACGCAGTATCGTGGGCAGAGCTTAAAAATGTAAAGTTGTCCCCGTGCTTAACTAATTAAGCACTACGCCATGAAGGCGTATCGGGGAGTGGATGCATAGATCCACATTTTCTTGACCTCGATACTAGCTGGAGATGAGTAGTCAGCTTCACGCCCCTGCTGCTTTACCTCCGAAGAAAGAGCCCACGGTACCCATTAGATAGGAGGCTGGCTGGGCCCCAGAGCCGATTTGGATGACGTGGAGAAGAGACAGTTCTTGATCCTACTGGGACTCAAACTTCAACCTCTCGGTCGTCCAGCCCGTAGCCAGTCGCTATACCAACTGCACTATTCCAGCTCGGGCAGGGCATACGTAGAGAGGTATCTGTATATATATTTTTTTATTATTATTTTTGCCGATTTACAATCTACTTGACCGTAAAGCAAGTAACAAGTAAATGTGATATCTCTTCTTATGTCTTGAAGGCGGTAACTGCCCAGCGGCAGTTCTCATCCATTTAATTCCTTACGTCTTCTGGCCACTTTTTCGCCAATCTTCTTGCATTAGCGTGTGGGTTCGATAGTTCATCGATTAGATGGTTCTCATGGCCTGTAATCCGATTTTGGTATATGTTGGCTTGTTTTTTGATCTCATCCGTTATGAAGGGTATGTTGAGGGCTTCCTGGATGGTTTTATTTGATACGCACCGCGGTGCTCCTGTTATACTTCGTAAGGTTTTCGATTGAAACGTTTGCAGAATTTTGGTATTGAATGGTTTAGCGCACCCCTACAGCTCAATGCCGTAGGTCCACATGGGTTTAATAATTGCTTTATATAATAGGACTTTATTTTCCAGAGACAGCTGTGAATGCTTTCCAATAAGTCAGTTCATCCGTCTCGCTTTTAACGTTAATTGTTGTCGTTACATTTGTATGTGTGTTTGCCACGTTAGTTTGTGATCTAAGTGGAGTCCTAGATACACGTATTTTACTTCGGATTTGGTTGGTATAATAGAAATGCTGATTGTTACTTGCGGGCAGCTAATTCGTCGAGTGGCGAAAGTAATCTGCGCTGATTTGTCATTATTAGTTTTTATGCGCCATTTTTGGAACCACGCTGTAGAAGATTTGTGATGTGAACTCTCTGTATATGTACTTGTGTACTGACTCCCTGATTACTGAAGGTGGATGGTGACTCTACCCTTCCCCCCACTTTACCTACCAGCGGAACTGGTTGCCTCTACTTGCCATTCTCTTCCATTTTCTCTGCACACCCCTTATGAGCAGTGGCCCCTCGAGTTCTGAACCAAGTTCCTCGCAATTATAACATTAAAGTCGGGTAAATGTTTGTCTGTCACGGTAGCCGAGTGGTCTAAGGCATGTACTGTCTTCGCTCGCTTGGAAGCCGAGATCGTGGGTTAGAATCCCACACAAGACATGGATGTTTGGTATATGTGTATGTCTTTATTCTGTGTTTGTGCTGTCCTGTGTTTAGGCAGCTGCCTTGCGACGAGCTGAGCACTCGCTTAAGGAGTCCTGCCGTCTGTAAAATAATCATAAAACTAAAAATCAGAGTCCAGGGCCCGAGGGGGCTGTAGAGCAAGTGGAAAAATAGCATACTTTCATTACAATAGCCTCGAGACCAGCCATGTCCAACGCAGCGCCCTGGCGCCCTCCGTAACCACATATAATTGAGCCGATTTTTATTACTAATTCAAATTATAAGACAAGAGACATTTTTGAACGTCTGAGTACTGTTAAATATTTTCGAAAAATTTTATTGTTATCATTATTAATTTATAGTATTATTAGTGGTAGTAGTAGTAGAAGTACTAGTAGTAGTAGTGTGTGTGCTGGCGCCCGCACCTCCATAGGCATCAGTGAATTGTGCCCGAGTACATAAGAACGTTGGAAAGCACTGCTCGAGACTGCCAACTCGGTTCGAAAATGGGACCCCAGACGTCTGGGGTTGGATAAGTTAATCTGATGTCAGAAGGTCAAGACCGGTCAAGACGATAAACTGATATAACAGGGCAGTGCGCTCTATTGGATCTAATTGAGAGTTCCCGCCAATTGAATGCTGGATCGACTCCATATCTACATAGCAGTGAGTGAAGCAGGATGTTTGCAAGATGGTGGTGTGTTCTGTCACTGATCTCCAGCGTACTGGGAATGAACCAGACCCGACCTCATATCATCTTCATCCTAGCTGATGATCTGGTGAGTACACAATTCTACGCGTTACGATGTGTCACGTGACATGATATTCATATGGGGACCGCTTGCTTGATTAATATTGGAAGAACTTGTTGCCTGAGAAATGCTTACATTATTAACTACCTAACTAGATGCAGAGGAACATGCATCCGAAGTTCGTTATAAATGTTAGATACACGTAATGATCTGGAAGACAGTCCACGGACGTGAGTCCCAGCGCAACTATACTTTCATTAAGTTCAGGTACCTGGTCTGCTGATGGCGCTGTAAGCAGGCGACCCGTGTCTGTACGTATGGCACACGAGCGAAATATATTTTCGTCCAGAATTTATTACCAAAAGGCATGCGGTAGCGTAGTTGATTGAGGCTTTATGCTACAAGTCGGAAGGTCTCGGTTTCGAGTCCCGATGAGATCACTGAGTTTTTTTCAATATACTTAATCCTTCTAGCCGCACTATGGCTCTGGAGTCGAGTCAGCCTCTAACAGAAATGAGTACCAGAAATCTTCCTGTGGGGTAAAGGGCTGTCGGTGCTTAAGGCTGACAACCTCACCACCATCTGTGAGCATGTTATCTAGAAAATATGGGAGCCTCGACTTCTCACACGCCTATGGGCCTTCACAGCCTGTTAAGGGACAGCTTTATATTTTATTTATTATTACATGTATTCGTGTCTTTAGGTTCTGTTATAATTTTGAAATTTTAGTCGCACATGTTATTTCGAAAGGAAGTTTGCTCAATCAAGTTGGTTTATCAGTTATGAAATCAGCGTAGCAATAATAATAATAATGATGATAACAATAACAACAACAACAACAACAACAACAACAACAATAACTGTGTTTAGGTAAAGAATAAGAATTATAATAATAGAAATCGGTATTAAGTGGAATTAAGCTTTCAGGTCTTCACTCGTGTCAATTTGCCCATGGGGAAACAGTTCGGGTGCCCTGTATAGGCAGCAGGAACTCCTCAGACCAAGTGGACATGTAATGAAAGAAGATACGCCCGCCCTACTGAGATTCAAACCAAGGCTCTCTAACTATCAGGTAGTCGCTTCACTGACTCGACTATTCCGAGCTGATGATTATAATACAGGTCTTTCGTTTTAGGGAACTTAAATCTTGAGCCAGGGTTTGAATCCAGGAGGTGGTATCTGCTTTTCTCTATTTTATTTTTAAACATTCTGTGAAAACTGGAAAGAACGCCTTATGTCGACATTACGTTTGTCCGTATAAAAAACTGGGCATGTTGTTTTTCAAACTCAATGTTGAAGACTCATGAAAAGTTGTGATTAATTCTATTGTCAACCACATTGATTCGTAACAAAGGTTACTTTCGGTAAGGTCATAAATGTTTTCTTGTATATCATAAACTGTTAATTACATTTTGACAAAATTCGCTATGACAGATATATGTATAGCAATAATTAATGCTTTTAAATATCAACCATATTGACATATTACAAAACCTTCCATACACAAGGTCATAAGTGCATTTTTCCGTGTATCTCATAAACCGTTTGAAATTTTGTTTTAATTTCAAGTTTGCATTATTATAATCTCATAAAAAGAAATATTGTGTATTTTTACGCATACTACATTTTGTTATGTTCCATTAGTAAGTCTGCTGCAAATTGAACGAATAAACTGCAAAGAATGACATTAGAATTTGTTGTATCACGGAATGCAGCCTTTCAAATTTTACATAAAATTTATATTGTTACAGGGTTGGAACGACGTTGGTTTCCATGGTTCTGACCAGGTTCCGACGCCCAACATCGACGCCCTGGCGTACAGTGGCGTGATACTCAATAATTACTACGTGTTGCCCGTATGTACACCTTCCCGCAGCGCTCTCATGACGGGCAGACACCCAGTGCATACAGGTAGGCGCTCCTCAGGGCCGCAGAAAGAGCAGCAAACATTAGCTCGCTCCTGCTCGATTTGCTTGCCCTTCGTCTGAGAAAATAAAAGTAGTACGCTTCTCTGAAACATCAACATAAGTCTACCAGATTACGCGGAGCCACATCCCAGAACGTCTTAATGACACAATTACTAACGAAGTACGAAAGTTTTGCTGCAAGGAAAGAAACACAAGGCACCGCTGTGAGCACCTGTCCGTCTCTTCATACTTATTATACTTTTACTAACTGCAAGAGACATACGACTCGGTCAGAGTTGTGACACATAAAAATATGGTCGTGGGTCTCGGGGGATCTGAAATCGAGAATGACTGCTGACATAAGCCAGCAGTACTTTACCCGAAACCCGAAATCCAAGAAAGAATGGCTTTCTTAGGAAAATAATAGTGACTTAGGGAATAAGGAAATTTTCAGGCTTTATGGGAAGGGCTCATCAGAGTGCTCATAAATGCCCGTCACTGGCCCTTATTCTAAGCCAAAAAAATCCAGCCCACTGCCCCAAGCCCTCAAGCCCTAAGATTCAGTTTAATATTATCCTCTCTCTTAAGCTTAATTTTTCCAACTTCCGCTGAGATATTCACACGAATTCTGTATTCTTCATCGTTCGCATGCATGCTACATACTGTGCTCATCCTTCTTCATTCAGCCACCCTGTTAATATTTGGTGAATGGTACAAATTCTGAAGGTCGTCGTTGTGCATTTTCTTCCAGTCTCAAGACGTATTTGGAAATACCGTTTGGAGAGATATGACATCAACAAAAAAGGGAAAAGAAGTTGATAAGGGTTCCCGGTAATTTTACTGAGACTCTGACTGGATACCTCCCCAGTTCTTCTACAAGTTCAGTTCAATTTGCACATAGACTCGAACCGACTGAGAAAGAAACTCGCGATGCAGAACCGATAACTGATCGCCACTAATACTGTTTACGTACATAGATCTAACCTGTGGTCACCGAAACGGGAATCTTGACCAAAAGAACGCATGAAGAATGCAGAATAAGTGATTATATTACTACATACTCTGAAAATAAAAATTACTATCAACAAAGAGGACTAGGCTTAGGCCCAATTTTGGCAAGTTCCGACTCCAAAATTGCTCCGACCACATATTCCTCGGTTTTCCAGCTACCTGGCGCCATTTCGACTTACATTAAGAAGCAGTTTTAGCATAATGGTTGTCCCGTGTATCTGTCCAGCCTGTTTTATAAAACACAGTTGTCTGATGGAAGCTACGCGGTTCCTTTTCCTTCAGTTCATATCCGTAAAAATATGTAAACCACAACCCATGTCAGTTGTTTTCTTATAACATGGCTAACTTTATCGATTGGGCCCAACTGAGTTGGTTCCGCCTGAAGACGGAGATAGAATCCAGTGGCCGAAACTTTGTACAGGATGACGGATACTATCCAGAAACACAATAATTGTATTTTGAAAGTTATGTTTGTTGGATCGCTCGGTGGGAAGTGCTGAGCAATAGAAACATGTCGGACTGATGTTGATATGTGATATGTTTTTTAAGAGTGCAAACACTTGGGCTATACTAACAACCTGCTCGGTGTTACGCGGACTTACCGTTCGTCTGTGAAGGTATGCAGCATGAGGTGATATTCGCAAACGAGCCATGGGGACTACCACTTGAGGAGAAATTGTTGCCGCAGTATCTACAGGAATTGGGCTACGTCAACAGGATGGTGGGAAAGTGGCATTTGGGACATTTCCGTGCCAACTACACTCCTCTCTATCGCGGGTTTGATTCCCACTATGGGTACTGGGGTGGACACCAGGATTACTACGACCACACAGCCCAGGACAGCGTGAGTACAAATGCCTTGCCCCAAACTCAGAAGTCCGTACTGTACACTAGTATATTATGTGTTGCATGAGGAGCTCTATGTGTTCTGTTGAATGCGTAACATCATTTCTACTGTCACCAACCAAGTATCGGATCAGATACAAGGAACTTCGTGATAATGTGCTGCCCTGTCAGGGCTCTTTCAAGTCTCAGAAGGATGGAGGTTCCGATCACAGCGGCCGCGCGATTTAAGGTATGAACCATCTTCGCGCGCTCGAACACTGGGATCTTGGGTCAAAATCTCACTTGAGTCATGAATGTCTGTGTGAGTTTATTCTGCGTTTATGTTCTGTGTTTAGGTAGAGGCCTTGCGATGCGCTGATCCTCCGTCCAAAGGGTCCTACCGACTGTGTATAGGATTTAGAAACTTAAAAAGCGGCAAAGGTCAAAATGGCTGTAGAGCCTGAAAAAATGAGAAAGGGCGGGAGCTGATACATATGGAGAAACGGTTGTATGACAATTAGGTGTGGAAAGTCGAAGAAACTGGCAGAAGACTCAGTAATTTTCCCAATTCGTCCGTGAATAATCAATAAAAACGCCAAAACACTGGTGCAAGGACTCTGCATAGATTTTCTCACATTTGGCCTATATTATGCTACGTTGAATACGAAATCTACTGTGGGTCGTTAGGTATTCCTTGTCTGCATAGACTATCGACCTTTACGTACCATTGGGTTTCAAATAAGAATTTAGAGTAAAAGTAAAAAGTAAAGCTATCCCGGTAACAGGCCGTGAAGTCCCATAGGATTCTGAGACGTTGAGGGTCCCACATTATCTAGACAACCGGCTCGAAAATGGCGGTAAGGCTGCCAGACTTACGCGCCGGCCGCGCTTTACTCCCCAGGAAAATTATTTAAGTAATTCCTGGTACTCATTTTTGTTAGAGGCTTAGTCGACCCCAGGGCCATAGTGCGGCCGGAAGGATTAGGTCAATTGAAAAAATCCAATGACCTCATCGGGACTTGAACCCGCGACCTTCCGGCTTGTAGCATTGTGCTTCAACCAACTATGCTACCGCGTGCCCCAAGAATTTAGAGTATTTTAGTAATATTGTTCACTCGAGAGACTTATAAGTACTCGTTATACGCAATAATAAATTTATTCAAAATGTTATACTTTATCAATATTGTCGAAGTTCGACTTCACGCCGAGGGCGGAGCCAGCGGTTAACGGATTATGTCTCTAAACACTCAGGGGGGCAGGTCCACTAACACACGTCATGCCTCACAATCATTCATTTCTACTGCAAGGAATCAAAATAAATCTATTAAATCTGTAATGTTTTGAGGTAAAATAAGGTAAGATGAAGCTGTCCCTGCGCTTTATTAAGCACTATGCCATGAAGACATAACGTGGAGTGGAGATAAGGCTACAAAATTCTCGTCTTCGACACTAGATGGAGATGAGTGGTCAGCTTCTTGCTCCTGTCGGTTTACTCTCGGAGAAAGAGCTCCTGATTATCCATTGGATACGAGGCTAATATTCGGAGATAGGAATTTTAAATGTTTTGGTACTATATGCCAGTTCGGATAATTGGGAGTTCGGATTGCTGACCTTCCGCTGTAACTCTGTAGTTCAGCGTCCCGTTGCAATTGTTCAAATTAACGTCCGTTATTTAACTTCCGTCTAAATTGCAACATTTTTTAATTCTACACTTCAACACACTCTTCAACACTACATGTTTCGGTCTCAAACGGCCATCTTCAGGTGTTTTTGTTACAGATATTTTACTAAAACTGTGTTAAAAACTACTACACCCTTCCAATTCGTGTTAAAAAAAACCACACGCTGTAGTCTTCTTTTTTAAGTAAAATGAGATAAAATTCTTTTGCAATTTCTGTTACTTATTGTTTCACTTCACCCAGGGTGTCGTCATTTTCGTAAATATATCAAGGTGTTTTTCTTGGCAGCTTGTTCCTCACGTTCGTTGTCTACTTTTAGTTTTGACTGCCATATGCTCCTGGTTTGTGTGCGCTTCCTCCTCAACGTGTGATGTTGTCTTTACTACTGTAGAATTAAAAAGTGTTGCAAGTTAGACGGAAGATAAACAATGTCGCTAATTCCGCTCTAAGTATAAGCTTGCATTTTACGTGGTAACTGCATATTCTAAGCTAGAAATGTGGAGACATAAACTGAAATGGCTGGGAGACATATGAAACCCGAAATTGGATACAAGCGAAAGGAAACTATGTGCATGAGTGAGCATCTGCTGTAAAAAAGGTCAAAGAAACTTAAAAGATCTTTCAGCCAACAACTAAGCAACTTTATACTGTATCAGCGGAGTAGCATTTTCATTACAGTGAATGATTACAAGCTAAACGATCGGAGTTCATTTCCCAAGAGAGACGATGATTTCTCTTCTGTACCACATCCAAGGACACTCCAAGACATGCCCAGACATGTATTCATAGATTACCAAGCGCTCTTCTACAAGAATAAAGCAGCCATAGCATGATGCTGATGAATGAACGCCATCTGTTGCGGAAGTCTAGTACGATCGTAGCTTCACCCCCCCCCCCACCTACACGCTTTTCCAACGGGGTTCTGGTGCTCACCGGCAATTGTGCTTTTATCTAGCAATGCAGCAAGCAGGGATCAATGTAGCCAGGAGACCTGTCCTAACGAAGGCGTTCCCACATACCGTCCTGCCGAAAGTAGGCCTTTCTTCTTTTTCGCTTAGTGGGGGGGGGTGTAATCCAACTGGGTCCACTCGGCACGGCGGCCACTGATTGGCCTATTGTACCTGCCCCAGGTTATTATGATGATGGAGAATTTGGTGGAATGAAGATTGGCAGGAGAAACCGAAGTACTCGGAGAAAACCCGCCCAATCTCCACTTTTCCACCACAAATCTCACTTGACCAGACCCTGGATCGAACCCGGACCGCCGCGGTGGGAAGACAGAGACTAACCGCTTGAGCTATGGCGCGGTCCAGGCCTTTCTTCATGCGGTTTTGCCGAACATAGGTGTTCCATCACACCGTCATATCGAACATCGCCACCGAGTGATTAAAGCTCCTGCTTCGTTTCTAGAGGCCGTAGTTTCGTATCTCAGCTCAAAACTGGATATACTGACTATTTCGCGGTTTTCAGCAACCTGCAAGGAATATGCTTGGCTATTACCTGAAATAAGACTACAGTCGCTTCCTGCCTTATGTTTCCAGACTTCCTATTAGGCATTGCATAATGACATATTCAAATTTTCGTTAAATTTAATAAGAATATATTTACCCCGTTCAGTATAATGCTAGGATAGTCAATGAAAATGTAATTTATTTCCGGAAATTCGTTCCCTTTAATTACTTACTCAGCTCTTGCCTCTACGTTTCTCTACGAGCCTTGGTCTCGTTTATGAGAGATGTCATTTATAATCTCATATTTGCAATTTGCCTCCATTTCTTCATTTTCAGCCCTTGCAAATCATTTTCTGCATCTTTGTCACATAACTCTGGGCATTCCCACTTTTACTCTTTTTTCTATCTTACAATAAAAATATTCTTAACCACCAGTGCCTGGTCGCAACTCCATATTTGTTCTTTTAATATTCACTGCCCGATCAGAGGTTTCATATAATTCCTTCAACTCTTTGTTTGTTCTGACTCTGCATAATTCTCTCAGTTGCCCCTCTCCCATTTATATAACATAGCTTTTTGCAGTCATTAATAATATTTCCTAACCAAACATTTTCCAGTGATTGGCATTAGCTCTTTCTGAGGGGCCCAACTGAGTAGGTGTCTTCCTTTCTCACCTGAAGACGGGAACAGATCCATTTTCCGAAACGTCATGGCACCTGTTACCTAGAATTTCGGACGATGGAAAGTGTCCAAAAACCCCAGTAATTTTGCGAACAATTTCTGTTTAACTGTTTTCTTGACATGGTTGTAGCTACGCTACTGGGGCTACGACATGAGGCGGGACATGAACGTGCACTGGGCGAGTTACGGCCGTTACACCACCGACCTATTCTCAGAAGAGGCTGTCCGCACTATCCTTCAGCACGACGAGGCGCGTCCCCTGTTCCTCTACTTGGCGCATCTGGCTACGCATTCGGCCAACCCGTACCGGCCCCTGCAGGCGCCCGCAGACGTCGTCAACAAGTTCAGTTACATCGCGGACGAGCAGCGGCGGATTTTTGCTGGTTAGTGGTAGGAATCAGGCGACTGAACTCGGGTAATGCTTGCTACCATTCAGTCCAGAATCTTTTGTCTTCTCGGCTGCTGTCCAAAAACATAAAAATTAGAATATACAAAACTATTTGTATAATCTTGCCTGTGGTTCTGTATGGGTGTGAAACTAGAGCTCTGACATTAAGGGAAGAGCAGACTGAGGGTGTTTGAAAACAGGGTGTTGAGGAGAATATTTGGACCGAAGAGAGATGAAGTGACAGAAGGTTAGAGAAAACTGCACAATGAGGAGCTTCATAACTTGTATTCTTCTCCAAATATAATTAGAATGATCAAGTTAAGGAGTATGAGGTGAGGAGGGCATGTAGCACGAATGGGGGAGGTGAAGAATGCATAGAGGATATTGGTGGGAAAGCCAAAAGGAAGGAGACCACTGGGAAGACCAAGGCTTAGGTGGGTTGATAATATTAAAATGGATCTTAGAGAGATAGAATGGGATGGTATTGATTGGATTGATCTGGCGCAGGATAGGAACCAGTGGATGGCTCTTGTGAACACGATAATAAACCTTCGGGTTCCATAAAATGCTGGGAAATTCTTGAGTAACTACATAATTGGCGGCCCCTCAAGAAGGGCTCAGCCCCGTGAGTAAGTAAGTGGTAGAAGACACGAAGTTTATTTAAAAGATCGCTAAATCAGTAGTGCAGGGAAAGTCACGTTTTTGTGTTTGATTTGTGAGATAACATCTCGAAGTTTCTCAAGCACAAACTTTCACCATCAATACAGGATTCAATCTGTTTCTATTGTTGCTATGTTACTACCTCAGCAATTATCATACACTTTGTGAATATACGTCACCACACAGAATCCCAGAATTCTATGCGAAATGCCGCCCTCACTTCAGACTCGAAAGACCACCATGTTGGTATTGTTGTTCGCAGTTAATGAAAGGTCATTTTATATTATTGTGTTTATAATCCGTCTTTGCTGTTGAGGAGACAAATGCACTGGTAGGGGAACTCCGTTTCCTCGTAAAATAAGGGGAATAGTATAGTGTAATGTTATATTAAAATGCATTATGAAGAAAGAAGTACTTTTGGGTAGACTAACCTCAACTGATCTTAATGTGTAAAAATAATTGAGCTTTTGTGGGAAGATTCCGAGTTAAAAAAATTAATTTAATGATCAGTTCAAACCTTCCCAGTAATAATCCATTACTATTGAGTCAGTTATGTAGCGACAGTTAAATGAAGTATTATGGGTATCATTTTTAAAATAATAGACCAAATGAATTACTTTCGAATATGAAGTAATAGACATATTCATTTTTATGAACCTGTTGTTTAAATGGGGTATTCCTAGCAGGGAAATTGTGAACTATTTCTTGTTCTATTTCACATAGGAATGTTGTCAAAACTGGACCAGTGTATCGGCGATGTCGTGGCAGCACTGGAATTGCGCGGTATGCTCAACAATTCCATCATAATCTTCTCAACTGATAATGGAGGACCAGCTGCAGGTTTTAATCTCAACGCAGCTTCCAATTGGCCGCTGCGAGGGGTAAAAGTTTTTGAATGAATTATTCTAGTAGAAGCAATTAGGGGAGAGAATTGTGTCCAGTGGTAAAGTTGCGCATCTGCAAATGTGCAGTATTTCTGAAGATGTAAAGCACACTTGTAAAATAAAAATAGTTGATAGGCAAAGTATGAGAATTTTAGATAATTAACTTTCTGGAATGCTTCATATGATATGCATAAATTATTTGTAATTTGATGCGGAGCCGTCAAGAAGCATATCCGAAAATATGTTTATAAGAACTTACAATTCTTCTGGTCAGCGATGATTATCTTGCCATCCAATCTGATTCTATTAAACTTCTGTAGTTTGAACAGAGCCCTTATCAGGTCGAGAATGAGGTTATGTTTCCCAGAGACCTGTACATTTTGTTCACCCTATGATGATAAAACATGTAGCAGGGAACGAACGCTGTAAGACATTCTCCCTTACATAGCGTCATATACCTTCAGAAAATTCATGATCATTTAACTTGAGTTATGTAGACATTGGGGCGTGGTTGATTTAGGCACTCTGCTACAAGCAGGCAGGTCACGGGTTCGATTTCCAATGACGTCATTAGATTTTTCAATTGACCTAATCTTCCAGCCGCACTATAGCCCTTGGGTAGGCTCAACCTCAAACAGAAATGAGTACCAGGAATGTTCTTAGGATGTAAAGGGCGGCGGCCATCTGTGAGCTGATTGTCTAGAGAAAATGTTGGAGCCTCGACGTCTCACAACACTATGGCCCTCATCGACCTGTTACAGGGATAGCGTTATCCTTAGCTTATTTACCTTTTTATCTAGACATTAGGGGAGCCTCCTCGGTCTGACTGAACCCGACTCTTCCGGTGAGCCGGCTTATATATTGTAATTATCAGGCTCATCCTGTAATTGTGGTGAACACGTCTCAGGAGGGAAGATCAACCAATTTTCTTCGGAAGGCAGCCAAGTAACAATGTCCCTCTTTACTCATAAAAAATTTAGGCGCAATATTTCACGAAGTGTCCGTCGGCCGGTCGAATGTACTTTTAAAGTGAGTTTTTATGAAGGCAATGATGAAACTTCGGGAGCTATAATAGATCAGCCGGTATAATGACGGTCTGGACAGCCGAGGTTCGATTTACGTCATGGCCTACAGATATTTCTGTGCTCCACATCGTCCAGGCCGGCACTCAGGTACGTCAAACCTCCTATCCAATGGGTACCGGTGGATCTTTCTCGGGGGTAAAGCGGTCGGCGAGTGAAGCTGATCATTCATCTGCATCTAGTGCCTAGGACAATAATGGTTGAGCTATACGTCCACTCCCACATATGTCTTCATGTCACAGGGGCAAATATAGTGATGAATCTTCAAGTTCTGAGGCGAGGAACCCGTTGATTGTGCAAATGAATACGAACTGACCAGGAAGACCGTGGGCCATGAGGGAGTAGGTCCGTTATTTCATCTTTTTAAAGGAGATAGATATTCAGCCTTAAATCTAATTGAATTTTCGTACCTTGAACCGCAAGGAAACCAGAGTTGCAAATTGTGTATAGGCATTTAGTATCTGCGATTGGATTACTGCTACAGACACATTAGACGGCACTCAGTAGCATATTCGATGTGCTTGCAGGTGAAAGACACTCTGTGGGAAGGCGGAGTCCGCGGGGTGGGTCTCGTGTGGAGCCCCTTAATCCGTAGTGCCCCGCGGGTAGCCACCCACCTGATGCATATTCAAGACTGGTTACCCAGCCTACTTCACGCCGTGAATGCAACAGTTCCGTCTCATCTGGACGGGCAAGACGTGTGGACCAATATCTTAACAGGTTCGTGGGCTCGTACCAGTGCGGCGTTCTGCATGATTCACTTAAAGATGCATTCTCAGCCGCACAGTGTATACAGGGCCATTCTTAATTATTGTCGGAGTTTTAGTGGCCTATAATTTTCAAACTGAAAAAAATAAACAAAATTTTTTTATGGAATATGAAAGTGTAGCTCAAAACGTTCTACTACTTATAGAATCAATACTACAAAATGCTAAACAACTTCAACTTCTGCGCCTCCCTTGGCACGTAAACTGTCCAAGCTTCCTTGATTCGATCAACGACTTCCTGCGAAGTGCTCGGACTTCCCGCTCCTTTTCGGTGCAGAACATCATCAGTCTCTTGAAATTGATTTAACCAACGTCGGATAACATTACCTGAAGGTGAATCTTTCCCATATTGAGTTCTGTAACGACATTGACTTTTGATAACGGATTTTGTTTCGAAAAACCATTTTGAGGTATGACGTCAAATTTTATCCCAGACATCAATGCGGCAAGTACAGCGTCGCCAAATAAAATTCTTCGAGTTCTAACTTTCGTATTCATTAAGCAGTTTTATTTTATTATTTTGATTTGAAAATTATAGGCCACGAAATACCAGTCAATACTTCGGAATTAGTCTTTACTACAAAACATCGTGGGGCAGGAATATGCTAAGTTACGAATAGGAAAACATACTCATATGGCAGACAGTAGCCACAGGCATTTCGGCATTGCCTGGATGACATACGACTACGTTATAACCACAATGATTGTGAATAATGGTTTGGAAAGTGTGTGGAAGGAAAATGTATTATCCTGTTTTAAAGCACCATCCCAACAAATGTCTCGAGGGACTGAGGAATACTTCAAAATCTCTCAGGATATCCATACTTCGGGCCAGATTTGTCTTCAGGGCTTCCTAAGAGCCAGAAATGTTAAATAATCGACGGCAGAAGTTCGAGGTTTGTCAGCAGGAAATGAAGGAATTCACAAACTGCTAGGATATACAGGCTGAGGTCCGAGGTTTGAAGCCGGAACCTCCCTAATACAAAGCAAATAGATTAACTTTTATCGCACAACCTCCGCATGTCTTCTCGGAGTTTCTAGGGTACAATTCCGGATAAAATGAAAGCTGTTCTGATTGAAGTTCTTTAGAGTTTTCAGAATTTTAGGAATATTGTGGACTACACAGTTATTTTTATATATGTTTATTTATTTATTTATAGCTTATTTAATGACGCTGTTAGTAACTCAGATTACGGAGCGTAAAATGGGTGGATTAGAGTGAATATAATTTGGAATGGATATGGAAGGAAGGTGTCATGACCTAACCTAGCGTTTTCCTACGAAGTCTCAGGAAAACCACGAAATACCTAGGTTAGGGTAGTCCTTGTCTCGACCGAGATTTTAACCGGGTTCTTCCAAAATAGCTCTCAGAAGCGTTACCTCCTGAGCCAACTTGGTGACACTTCGAAGTTCGTTAGATTATACGAATGCAAACGGACACAGTCACGTGCTCCGTCTGCAATGTTATTATTCCTCTGTCTTCAAATATGTGAGGTCTTGAGATCTGACGCCGTTCTGAGATGTGCCGCCGTACATTCTGATGCCTGTCTACCAAACGACACTGCGTCGAATTACAGAATAATGTTATTTTCAAAAAGAACCTTATGGATATCTTCCCAGTTCCGTCGTACTAGGAATAGCTTACCGTTCCACAAGGGATATGACACCGTGTATTCTGCTCCCTCATCAGGGTACCTCATCCCTTCACATCTCTTCTGTTTACTTTTAACCCGAAGATTCAGACAGGAGGTCATCTGAAAGAATCATACCTGCCCACCACATTACTTTGCATCCCATCTCAAAAAATCTAACCCTTCATATTAACTGCAGTAATAAACTCAATTTCGTGTCGTTTCTCAATTGCCAATGCACGACGAAGTGTGATCACAGATTACAGTTATACATAATGAACATAACCTCTGTGATCGAATGGGTATAGCGGCCGGCGCCTGAAGCTGACCACTTACCCCATCCAGTTCCGAGGTCAAGAATGGTAGGAGCTGTACCTCCACTCCCTATTTGTCTTCGTAGAATAGTTCTTAATTAATTAAGCGCAGGGACATCCCTACCTTTATCTTACCTATTATTAAACAGAACCTTTTACGGCTTCAGATTTTCATGATTGTACATTGGAACTGATGACCGTTTTTTTATTATTTCCTTTCTTGTTTGTGTGGAAGTCAACAAACGTATTTCGTAACTGGCCACCCTATTACTTTTCGTTTAGATTTATTATTACTATTACTATTATTGCCGGTCACGGTAGCCGAGCGGTCTAAGGCATGTACTGTCTTCGCTCGCTTGGAAACCGGGTTCGTGGGTTCGAATCCCACTCAGGGCATGGATGTTTAGTTTGTGTGTGTGCGTTTATTCTGTGTTTTAAAACAGGTAGAGGCTTTGCGATGATCTGATCACCCGCCCAAGGGGTCCTACCGAATGTGTAAGATCTAGTAAACCGAAGTGAACGGAGAAGTTCATGGAGGTAGGCCTAGGCCCACTGGGGCTGTAGTGCCAAGGAAAACAAAATTACTATTATTATTATTGTGATGGAAGTCATGTAACGTTATTATTTCAGGGTCCCCGCCACCGTATGATGAACTTCTCCTGAATATAGATAACCAACGAGACATTGCGGCGTTGCGCAAAGGAGACTGGAAACTCGTTAAAGGTGAACACATGTCCTGTAAAACGTTTATAAAATATTGTCTTTGTATGAGTGACTATAGACGGGGTTTGAATTGGCGACTCGATTTATTGACCATTTATACGCACAACTCGACAAATTTGCGTTACCCGGTTTCCATTTAAGGTCTTGATATCTGCGATTCTGCCTTCGCTGCTGTTTTTTGGCAGTAACTGATTGTGTAACGACATCGAAACATTATGAATTATGGCTGTATAGTTGTGAGACCAGTCACGAAAATCTTATATTTTGCTGTTAGTGATTCTGAATGTTTATTAACAGGACGGACGTGGGATGGGCAATGGGACGGCTGGTACGGGCCTTCAGGTAGAAAACCGGGGTACCGTTACAACGTGACCCTGGTGTACAACAGCGTAGCGGGCAAGGCCCTGGTGAGCACTGGTGCGCCCCTGCCACTCAATCCAGAGGACGCCCTGAGGACGAGAGCGGCTGCCAATGTCTCGTGCGGTTCACACAACGCCAACAGCTCCTGCGCGGGACCCAACTCTGTGTGTCTCTTTAATCTGATGCAGGATCCTTGCGAGTTAGACAACCTATCGAACAAGTATCCCTTGCGGGTTGCGGCATTGCAGCGACTGCTAGACCGATACAATGCAACGGTAGTTCCTCCTCTCAACAAAGAGGCTGACCCGCGGAGTAACCCCAAGTATTGGAACTACACCTGGACCAATTGGATGGACCAAATTTGATAATCGTTGGAGGCTGGTGCGAGAATTATCAGGGATATCCTACTTATTTTCTACGAATATGATTATAGAAATTTTATAAGCAATATTCCTTATTCTGTATATAGACTAATATAATTTCCGTTGAAATTTCAACGGGAAAGTCTCAATTCTCATAAAATATATTATTTTTTAAGAAATTATTGTTCGTCATCCAAGTTTATTCATATTTTTCGGGAAAGTTGATCCATTTTCTTCTTTACAATAATAAGGTGTGGGAGAAAAAATAATTTGTAGGGNGAAGAGACCGTGAGAACCGGTAAAAGCAGACTGGTCTCACGGTCTCTTCGCTTGCGGATTTCTTATATTTTTCTTTCTACCCTGAAGATGGAGGCGATACGTTCCTCCGAAACATCGGTTAACACCACATATACACGGTGCCAAATCCCAAAAGACTGCTTTCTTCATGGTAATTGAGTTTTTATTTAGACTCAAGTGATTTATGTTAGTTTTGTGCACTTATCAGGCTGGACAGTAATTGTGACTCAGTTAAGGGACGCAAGCACACGTACGGCAAGGCAACAGTTTGTACACGGTGTGTCCAGGATCCGTTAGGATTCTTTTTTTTTCCCCTGCAATGCCATCTGTTGGCGAGTTATTGCGTTAAGATTCTTGAAATTTCAGCTCTGGCTCTCTATAATTTGAAAGCGCAAGCATCGCTGCATCATGTGTTCTGACCTTGAATGTAACAGTACTGCTCTGACGCTCGTCGGAAAATGGCGGCAGTTGAACAGAGAGCCAACATCAAATTTTGTTTGAATTAGACAAAACAACCGGAGAAGCGTATGATATGACGAAGTGTGGGTACGGTAGAGATTGTCTGAGTCGCTCGAACACATTCGTCACCATTCGTGAAGCATACAGCAGTGCTTTCATCTTCAGTGTGGGCGCCTTATGAGTCATCGTCTTTTTTGGTTGTAGATTAAAATTGTCTTCAGAATTCGTCTCTCTTCCATTCCTGTGACGTATTTCCACTGTGGTATGCTACAATCTGATTAGATATTATGACTGTCTTTTTAATTTTTTTCTGACGTGTTGTTTCCCATTGGTTTCGCAATTCTGAATATATTTTGCGAATGGCTCGAATTCCTTATGCTGATAATTTTTTTTATAATTTCGTTCTTTGTGCCGATCTCATAGTTCCACTCAATATTTTGGTTCACGATGCCGACACACAAATCCTATAGATTATATCAGATTTTATTATAGATAATTGTGATGTAACGTGGTTAAGGCTATGAAACTGGAGCTTTCAGACATGGGATATTTTCAGTTATGAGGCAGAAGGTTGAATGAGCTCATATTCTTCTGTTTAGTTTTCCTAAACATGTGTGGCCTTGTACCCCGCATTCACTTCCATCCTCAATGACTGACTCTTTGTTTAAATAAGCAGTCGCGCTGTGGACAGACGTAGGTAGCAGATAGGATTTCCTAGTCTCCAGGAAACAACTGATGTAAAAATAAGAATATTTATTTGACATATAATTTCCTTCAGTATATTTACTGGCTACTACTTAGGCGACCTTTGTTCGATTCCTGTTAGGGGCCTTATCTGAGGGGACTTTCTGCGGGAGGAAAGCGGCCTGAACGTGAAGCTGTATTCTCCGTAGAGATTCAGAATGAGTGGCGCTGTATCTGTCTCCACGTCATAGTAGACAGACTCAAGAGAAATTTCAGCCTTGTGTTGACAAATTTAACTTGTACGGAATGTTAAAGTGCGGATAGAATACCAGATTTTTATGAATGAATAACTTAGTATGCTGTATCCTAAGGAAACTTGATAGTTAAACGTCGCGAATACAGAATTGTGACATTGGTCACAATTTCAGTCAACTAAATATTTATTGATATTTCCTTAGCTTCGATTTTCACATACAGTAGTTACCATCTTCCTTTTAATTTGAGAGGGGAGGCAATTTCCAATAGCTTTTCTGAATAACAGTCTATTAAAAATTCTCTTGTTTTAGCTATAGATGCATTTAAAATACAGTTATTACCTTAATTTTACTGAACTCTTAAAAACAAAAAATAGGACGTAGCAAGTGGACAGTTTGTGATATCACAGAACGAAGAGCCACTTGGAAAATCTAGAAGTTGATAGGATCCTATTATTAATATTGACGGTAGGGTAATATGTTTTGAGGAAATGAGGTTGAGAAACCGAACTGTTTCAGGATTGTATATAATGGCGGACTTCAATATTAACAGTGTTGGAACTATGGCTTCTGTTACCACAGATAGAATAGGCAGTCATTTTAATAATATCAGATGAGATAAATAAATTTCCGATTTAGCTTATATAATTATACTGAGACGAAATGATCCATTTTTAGGCAACTAGTCACTAAACACATTCTCTAGGAAACGAATACGCAGGCAAAACTAGGGGAATTGCCGTTTCTGTAACAATAGAGGAATTGCTAGGATACGGTGTTCTCAATGTGTTTTCTGTACGTGGTCCGTGCCCAAGTTTTATAGGGGAAAACGAAGGTTATTTGGCCCTTGTGGAGGCGGGTTCGAATACCTCCACCGTGACCCTGCGATTCGTAGGGGGTGACGAAAGGGAAGTCTCAAATTTGAGACAGTAATATATGGTCTCGGGTACCAAGGGCCTCGGACCCGAGAAAGACTGCGCTGGCAAGGACCAGCAGCTTATACAAAAGGCAGACCCGTCCTCTCGCCAGAGAGGGCGCCCACAAAAAACAAGACCATTAATGTCAAACAATAATAAAGATCTGGTCGCAAGCCCCAGATGGGAGCTTTGTACCAAGATAGATTGACCGACTGATCGTCGGTCTTAAAATGAGACTCAGAGTCAGAAGGTCATTTGTAGGGAATCGTAGAACGAGAAACAGAATGAAGTGAGAGCTGAGGGGTCAAGATTGATTGCGAGCTATAATAAATGATTGTAATTGTAAAGAAGTGCCAATGAATGCAGAACCCACGGTTATCCGTCACGCACACTTCTATACATGACAATACAGTAATAATGAACATAAATAATGGACAAATTTCCATAAGTTTTATGGAAATGTTCAGAAATCCTAAATTCTAAATTTTACTTCATGCAAATGTTAATATATTGTGGCATGTAGACTCGTTGCTAGGCATCGACCGCGAAACAAGCAACCACACAAGGACCATTGCTAAATAATGGTTCCGCAAACAAACATGTTTCTATGGAAACGAGTGAACAGAAATAATGGAAGAGATGTTTTCTATGAAGTCCGTGCCTAGGTGCTATAACAAGGACCAGTTAGCAGTTGCAATTATATGACAATGTTTTCTGTGCGGGTCGAATACTTGCACCGTGACTCTGCGAGTCGTAGGAGGCGACAAAAAGGGAAGTCTCAATTCTGAGACAGTAAAATATGGTCGCGAGTCCCGAGGGACTCGGACCCGAGTAAGACTGCGCTGGCAAGGGCCAGCATCATATACAAAAGACAGACTCGTCCTATCGTCAGAGAAGGCGCCCCACAGAAACAAGACCGTAACTGTCAAATGGTAATAATTAATATCTGGTCATGAGCCCCAAATGGGGCTCGACACCAAGACTTACTAACTGACTGACCGTCAGTCGCAATGTGACTTTGACTTTGACTTGAGTTGCAATTATAATAACTTCTGAGGTTCAGTCGTTGCAAACCGCTGCTCTTAGAAGTTAGTAGCTGAGGCTGAGGATAGTTCGGGAGCTCAGAGGAAGGAAAACGTCTCCTGTTTGAAGATTTTACCAAGCAACGACAATAAAGACGTGACTGTGGACACGTGTGCTATGTGTAATAGTGAACTGTAAAGTATAGACGCACTGTAGCAGTGCGTGGAATAGGTCGAGACATCAATCAAAAACCAATATGTAGTCATATTCCATTCCTGTGGCAATATTAATAAATTCATTGTTAAAGACGACCACAGCTTCTCAAGTGAATGCGTTCTGTTGTCATTAATAACGCCTCACGATTTCACAGTCAAATCTAAACAAAATCTAAATTCTTCTGTAATAGTCACTGCCGAATTCCCACGAAACTTTGACAGAGCAGAGATCAATCTGTAGAATCGAAATGTTTATCGGTTTTAAATTGAATCTGAAATGATTATTTTTCTAGTCCAGACCGTTTGTGTTATCTTGTCTAGAAGCAGTTTGAAAAACTGACATTTAAAAGCCCATTAGTAAAAATGTTAAGAAGAGATGCAGAGATTTAAATAAGTTCGCACCAATCCTTGCTCAAGGACACAGAATGTACGCGTCATAACATACTGTGTATTTTCAGAGCACGATAAAGGATATTAAAAGAATAGCTTTTGGTAGTTTAAACAGAATGCACATAAGATAAACTCTGTGTATTATAGAAGGTGATTACTTTGGTCTGAAACGTAATTTTGTTAGGATTTACACAAATACGCATAAATATTTATTTCTACTTCAAATGAAAGTGGATTTGGAGTGGGCAATGGGGCTTCATCATGCCCTACATACTGATCGCTAAGGTAGGCCTCTGTAACGTTATGCACGTAAGAAAGCTTTTAAATAAACAGTTTCGCTTAAGTAGGCATAGGTTTCTTGCAGCTGATTATTTGTACACATACTCATATATTTCTCCTCCTCCTCCTCCTCCCCTTCCTCCAGCATTTAGTAATGGGGCTTTCTCACCTATTTCAATTTGCAATTAACATCTAAATCCGGTGTAGGAAACCGAATTAACGGCCGTGGGGATCCGTTGCGCCGACCACGTGACACCCTCTGTGCGCATAAGTTGGCACTAACTTCGCCGACAAGCAGCGGTGGCTCGGTCGGTATAGTCGCCTGCGGACTACAAGCCACTGAGCTTTTTATTTACTTCTGAGAATATAATTTTTACCTACAGCTGGTCGGACATATTGGATGGAAGATTAGCCCATCGCAAGGTTCCCACCGATGCACGACAACGCGAACACAAAATAAACCCGGACCTTGAGCTATTCTCCCAACTAGGATTCCCAATATTCTGCTACTGTTAGAGCGGTAGAGGACAATATGGTCTTATATCGGGAGGCCACTGTTATCGGCCTACGTGCCTTTTGCACAATGAAGTTTTATTTTCATACATTTCATAACATTTTTATTTTCAACCCAATAGGATGAATATCTATTAAATTGGCCTAACAGACGTAAGTCTTAATTAGGTTTATGTTATGAGTTATGTACTCCTTGCTGGAGAAAACAGCATAATGAGGAACTTTATAACTTACACTCTTGTAGAAGTATAATTATAATGATAAAGTCAAGCAGGATGAGGTGGGCAGAGCATGTAGCAGGAATGGGTGAGAAGAGCAATGCATATAGGATATTGGTGGGAAATGCAGATGGAAAGAAACCACTGGGAAGAAAAAGTCATAGGTGGGTGGACAGTATTGAAATGGATATTAGAGAAATAGGATGGGATGGTATGGATTGAATTGATCTGACTCAGGGTAGAGACCAGTGGAGGGCTCTTGTGAACACGGTACTGAACCTACGGGTTCTATAAAATTTTGGAAAGTTCCTAAGTAACTGCACCATTGGCGGCTTCTCAAGAAGGGCTCAGCTCCGTGAGTGAGTGCGTGTTTGTTGAAGAAACAAAACACTTCTCTGGCAAACGCTACTAATGCAAAAGAATATCATTTGAAATACTATTATAATTTCGCCTCCCATCTCTTGTCTCTGCTACTTGAAAGAAGATAAATATTGTTTAGTTCTTGAGTAGCTGCACAATTGGAGGCGCCTCAAGAAGGGGACAGCTCCATGAGTGAGTGAGTGAGTGAGTGAGTGAGTGAGTGAGTTATGTGCTTATTTCTTTTCAGAAAAATGAAACAAGAAATGAGAGCTTAAATAAAATGTACCGAGTAAAGCTGGTTCAAAGTGCAACGCTTCTGGTTTGTACACGGGAGGTGCTAGGCCGCCATATCCGTCATCAGGATTTCTTTCATGGTTTTCCTTAGCACTTCATGTAAATATAGGTACTTAAATTAGATCACGACCTCTATCATTTGCATTCTTTCTCAGTCGTCATCCATCATCATCTAATCATTCGACGGGATAGATTTTGAGTTAATGACAGCATCATTAAACAAAAAGTTCTAGGAACAACTAATCGTTCATTTTCCTTTGATAAGAAAAGGACCGCATAGAAAACTTAAAAATTAAGGGGATGTACAGACGCACAGATACACAGACAGCAAGCTCATCTCATAAGCCTTTCCATTTTTTTAAAAATTAGAAGGATATGGAGACAGACACACAGATATGCAGACACAGACAGCAAGGCAATCTCATAGGCCTCTTTTTTTCTGGCGTAAGGAAAGTGGGCTAATAAACAGATGTAAACTGTAATTCCTTAAAACAGTCTTCGAACATGAAAAATGCGGACAGGCGAATAGCTGCGTCTACGTCAATAATAAGAGAATTCACTTCGGAGAAGAAGTAACATGGAGCACGTCCTCAGTACAAACAGAGCAAGAAGTTGGCGCTGAGAGATATGAGCCGTCAGCATTACAGTAAATTTACACAGTGGAGCGTAATTAGTTTGCGGCCCTGTTAACACACAGCGGAGCGTGTTGTAAGTCCTTGCATGTGAGAGGCCAAGGAACCATCTCTGAGCATTTGCGGTGTGTGTTCGCAAGTAGTTAGGAACAGAATCAGAGATGGCAGCAGGGGTTGATATGCTTGAGTCGGTATTACAGTGACCACCTTTGCCAAAAATTTCTTCCCGTTTACAGCATTTCTTATTGCAACGTTTCTGGAGGCGGGGATTAGTTTACGAATTTGAGATAAGCCAGAGTATACAGTGTCAAATGACAGAATGTATAATGAATAATGAATTGGAAAGGATTTGGAAGGATACAGTCGTGGCCTAATCAAGCTACCATCCTGGAACTTTCCCGGACGGGCCAAGAAATATCACGAACATTTTTCAGGATAGCTACTGTCCTGGACAAGTTTCGAACCTAGAACCTCCCGAATAAAAGTCTAAAGCGTTACAGCTATACCCACCTTTTCAGTTAATGTCTAATTTTGTTTCATATTTATTTATACATTCTTCTTCCTTTGGTGATAGAGCTCAAATTTGGGCTTTGACCTACCTCCAAGAAACCCTCCGCTTCACTTTGGTAGGACTCCTTGGGCGGGTGATCAGCTCATCGCAAGGCCTCTACCTTTACACAGACACAGAAAAACGCTTGCGCGCGCGCGCGCGCACACACACACACATTTATATATTTATATAATTGTCACGATTTAGGGACATGACTGCAGACTTGTTTTGGATTGGTGAATGAATTTATTTACAACTTACACACAGCACTCTGAACTGTAAGCAATTACAGCGCTATCGTTAATTTCCACACTTTACAAAGCACTTTTGCAAACACTAAGTCTTCTCCAACCGGCAGTGTTCATAGCCGTTTCCTGGTAATGGATGTTAACAGTGGAGATTGTTCAGCTTCTCGCGCTCAAGTCAACTCTTCACAGCCGCTGGTGCAGAACTCAACTCTCAGCCGACAACTGACAACTCAACTATAGTGCCATCTCTTCTCAGCCTCCTTTGCAGATCTCAGCTGATCTGCCAATTGAACTCTTGTCTTCACAATCGGACTTTCAACTATCAGCTAACTACTGACAACTGATAGGCTGATGGCAATTTCATACCATCCACCTAGTCTTCTCTTCACAGCCCGACTTTCAACTGAGCACTGAACTCTCTCAATTTCCTCAGTTTTGTTCTTTATATATATTTTGCACGAACAAGATAGAAAACACTGTTTCCAACAATAACTCTATTGTTGTAGAGGCATGTTACTGATCTATTGCTTAGAAAAGGGTTGCATAATATCGATCTACTGTTGGGTGTTTTTGTTGCGGACGTTACCTAGCAACGACCACTCTTTACAGAGTCACCGCTTAGCAACCTGTCTATACGCTACAATATGATTCAACTTTACCTTCAGTACCACATGTGCAAATATCTGCATAAGTTGCTTGTTTCATGTACAAATATGTTCAGAAATAAATTGTTGTAATATCTATGAGTTTACAGATCTCTGTCCTGACCAAATTACTCCAGAATGCACAGAATATTATATTTAGATGTGCTGTTATAAAATATATTTGTAATACATATAATTTTAAAGCCGGTTGGACGATGATGCCTCATATTCTCAGTAAATGTTTCACATCTAAATGTCTCTCTCTGTAAAAGCCTAATGATTGTTCAGACATCCCTATTCTGTCCCAAAAGGCAGCAGTAATTACGGTTAGTAGTAGTTACGGAGTGAGCCACAAGACGGCAGTGAGTCATTTGAATCGGCATTACATTCTCTACCTTTGCCAAAAACAAATTCACAACGTTCACATGGTGTTTATTCAGTTAAATCCTGATTAAGTTAATTTACGAGTGAACCAAATGGGAGGGTTATACGTGGAAAGTGTAGCTAGATATAGGGATTGTTTATTTTAAGTTTCTGCCCAATTTTGCATTAGGAAACATTCTAAATAATATGAGGCTGCGTGTTAGTACTCGTACAATGGTAGATTGCAAAATCTACGTGGTAGTAAATTGGAGAATGTGGGGGCAATATCGACATAATAGCTATTACTAAAATTAGTAAAGTACGTGTATCTCTCGGTGTTTATTTTGTATTCTAAAGCCAAGTTACATTATCACTGACTTCTATATTTGGTCAAATTGCGACTGAATAACTCCATCTCTGCTTTTCAGTAGCGAGTAAGATAATGGTTATTTTGAACTGCCCCACATGCATAATCATTCTATAATTGACATTGTATACATTCTCGGTACTGAATGAATGATTAAGTAAACAAATAAAAAATACAATTAAAACAGGAAGTAAAAATTGAAACTGCAGAAATAAAATTATTGAGAATTGTACTAAAATCGGGGAAGAATTGGTTTTTAATTTAAATAATAAAATTCTATACTCCAGACCACATAGGGAGTGTCACGCATTACGAATGGAAAACAGACAAATTCCAAAGAAAATATTAAACATACAATCCAATAAGATGGCGAACCATAGCGTAGCCGTCCGGTATTCTACCATACCCGCGACTTTGATGGTGGTAGCTGAGATATGGGTGGATTATTATCTGAGTGTAGTTATTTTTATGGAGGAAGTTTTTGAGTTAGGTTCTCCGTCTTGTACAGGTTTTATTCTTTTCCTCGAAAGTCGTAATTACGAGGAAACACACTAACATGCGCCGTACAAAAAGCCACAATTATTCACTCATGAAGCAAAAGTTCACTTACAGTAGTACACTAGTTTATACAGCTAGAACACTGAGAAATTGGGGCACAGACGCTATAAGGCTAAAGCTATGATTTGATAAATTGCAAGCTGACGTAAATTTAAGGTGCTATGGCATGGAAATGAATGTGGAGAAAACAAAAGTAATGAAAATTTCGAGACAACCAACCCCAGTCACAATAAAGATAGACCAAAAACAACTGGAGAATGTGAAATGTTTTAAATATTTGGGTAGCTTGTTAACAGATGATGGAAGGTGTACTTGTGAAATTAAATCCAGGATTGCCATGGCAAAAGCTGCATTTAGCAAGAAGAAGAATCTTTTTACCAGCAAATTGGACTTAAATTTGAGGAAGAAACTAGTGAAATGCTACATTTGGAGCATAGCTCTGTATGGGGCTGAAACATGGACACTTAGGGCAGTAGATCAGAAACATCTGGAAAGTTTCGAAATGTGGTGTTGGAGAAGAATGGAGAAGATCAGTTGGACCGATTATGTGAGAAATGAAGAAGTGTTAATTAGAGTCAGTGAGCAGAGGAATATCCTACATGAAATAAGAAAACGGAAGGCTAATTGGATTGGTCATGTTTTACGCAGAAACTGCCTTCTAAAAGAAGCTATCGAAGGAAAGATAGATGGGCGGATAGAAGTGACAAGAAGACGAGGAAGAAGACGTAAGAAGATGCTGGATGACCTTGGGGACAGAAGAGGATACTGTCATTTGAAGGAGAAAGCTCTAGATCGCATTAAGTGGAGGAACTGTTTTGAAAGAGACTGTGGACCTGTCGTCTTGACAGATTACTGATGATGATGATGATGATGATGATGATGATGATGATGTAAATTTAACTAGTTTTCCGGATATTACTTTATTTTCAGAATTTGTTGGAGCTGCCAGACATGTCCGTTTACTTCCAAAGCTGAAAACAAATAGCCCCTTTCCTCCAAAATAACTTGTAAGAGCGACGTATCATTCCTCCAAGCAGCGGCTTCCTGCGCTAATAAAAGCCCTTCATTGTAACTGGCTGATCCGCACAGAATTCGTCACCCTTAACTCTAATATATTCAGAGCTAACGAAAATATCGTTACCGTAACTAATGTTTCCCCCCCCCCACCTGCGCGCCATCGCCTCCAGGACCTACTCCGACCGCTGAACTCCTCCGATCCTGACTCATGNNATGGTGACAGAAATTGCCTTGAGCTCGGTTTCTGACTCCAAACTCCGCAGAAGAACCCCAAGCTGCCCCAAAGAAACTGTGTAATATTTTTGTATTCTGAGTTAGTTTTATTATTCCCAGAAAAGCGCGAATTTGTCATCAAATTAAATTATTTTAACTGTGGCATTAATCAAGTCCGATTAATAAATCAGAAATTTAAACAAAACAATTAAATATCCCTATAATTCTTTACGGCTATGGTAGAGCGTGCACCGTTGAGATGGAGGAACGAGCGTGCTTTTCAAGAGAACGGAACAGGACCAAGCATGGCATAATCTAAAATTACTTACTTGCTTACTTAGTTAGTTAGTTATTGGAGAGGGTGGGTTTCCCCATGCACTTAGACCAGTATTGGTCCATTGTGCTTCCCTCTATAATATTCTACCAGTCTCTATACCCTACCGATACTGCTGCGTACCATCAGTCCCGACCGAGCCAGCGAGTTCGGCCTCTACCGGCTTAGCGGTATCTTTAATGCTTCCCCCATCTATCAGAGGCGTTAGAGACTACTGTTGGGCGGGAAATGTCCTGAATTTTGCTCAGTGGCCTCCTTTGGAGACATGAGGTTCTTTTACGTGCCGTAAAGCTACGACACGGGACCCACGGCTTAAAGTCCCTCCCGGAGGACTTGTTCCCTGAATTTTTCCGCCCTTAAAAATTCCACCACCTCCGCCGGGTTTGAACCCGCGTACCTTGAGTCACGAGGTAGGTACGTTACCCCTAGACTACGGAGGCCGCTTACATGCTTGCTTACTTACTCATGGAGCTGAGCCCTTCTGGAGGAGCCGCCAATTCTGCAGCTACTCAACAATTTCCCCGAATTTCATGGAACCCGAAGGTTCATCACCGTGTTCACAAGAGGCCTCCACTGGTCCCCATCCTGAGCCAGTTCTATCCAATCCATATCATCCCATCCTATCTCTAAGATCCATTCTAATATTGTCCACCTACATACATCTTGGTCTTTCCTGTGGTCTCTTTCCTTCTGACTTTCCCACAAGTCTCCTATACGCATTCCTCGTCTCCCCCATTCGCGCTACATGACCTGGCCACCTCATCCTCCTTGAGGCCTAATCTATAATTATTATTATTGTTATTAAAATATAGGGCTGGTAGGAATCCGTCAGAAATTTGGTAGCATATATAATGGTTACCTATGGAGTTATATGACACTACGGCACGTGCTGAAGGTCACTCACTCCTATTGTCTCGCATGTCAATATGGCGGCCACCGAAATGTAATTGTATCCGAACAATATTTCCTACTTATATTCAGCAGATGCTCAATTAAAATCTCGGCCGAGATATAGACTAACCTAAGGTTTTCGGTGGTTGTCCTCAGTCCTTCCAGGCAAATTCAGGGATAGAACAACAAACTGAACCACATTCGCTTCTGTCCTTATCTTCCCAACGTCTCAGTTGCTGAGGAGTGGCGTTACATAACCTATACATGAATGCCAAATAACGCTAGTCGACCATTAACGGTCGATCGAGGGACGATTTTTGGTCGATGTCATAGGCCTATAAGGAAATTGTACGTGAAAAAAGTGTGTGAATTCAGATTGTGAAGGGAAAATACGTATTAGTCATTCCTATTTGTCTGTTCCTATGTAACTTACGTGAAAATTGCTTTACTCTTGTGTTAAGTGAACTGTGGGGAAGTCCCTACTCTATCCTTATCACGTGAACTCTTATTTCATCACTCGTCGTTAGCCGCGTGTGTTCTGATGCAAGAGTGATCGACAGAACGTGCGATTCACTAGAAACGATGTGTGGAAACATAATTGAACAGTTGTTGAAAGATGTTTCCAATTGTGTTGCTTTCTCCCTCCAACTGGATGAAGCTACAGACATCAGGGACAGCCCAGTTACTAGTTGCTTTTACAACAAACATCATGTGTCGTGAAGAAAGCAGTCTTCTTGGATTTGGCACCGTGTATATGTGTGGTGTTAACCGACGTTTCGGAGGAACGTATCGCCTCCATCTTCAGGGTAGAAGGAAAAATATAAGAAATCCGCAAGCGAAGAGACCGTGAGAACCGGTAAAAGCACACCAGTCTGCTTTCACCGGTTCTCAGGTCTCTTCGCTTGCGGATTTCTTATATTTTTCCTTCTAACCTGAAGATGGAGGCGACACGTTCCTCCGAAACGTCGATTAACACCACATATACACGGTGCCAAATCCCAGAAGACTGCTTTATTCATAGTCACGCCGTGAAAGCCTCAAATCTTACATCATATGTCGTGTTATTTTTACAAATATTTTTGCTTGAAGCGAGATACGACGATAGGAGGGGGTGGTAGATCACTGGCAGTTTTGACACTAAAAAGTCGATCACAACCTGTTTGAAGTTGGACATGACTGGCATACATCTAAATGACGTTCGTTAAAACACAGAGTAATTAATCTGTGCGTTCATTACGTTGCTACAATTCTTTAAAAGAGTTCCACCATGATGCGTTTCGTTGCTTATTTGTATCAGTTTCCATTTTAGTTTCGTATTAACGAAATATTTGTCGATTTAGATTTAGAGGAATTTTGTTCCAGAAC